GGCGTCTGGCTGCCGCTAGCGAATAACATGGTCATTAATGAGTCTTTGAAACATTAATTCATTTTTTTTTGAAAACCATGGGATTTGATCCATCCGTCTTCTTCCCCCGCGGGCGAGCCTGTGCTGTTGTTGCAGCAGATGGCGGCAGTAGGGTACAACCTCGCCGGCCTCTTGTGTCCCTCCCTGGGCCGATAGATTTATGTTCTAACTTATTTTTATCATGGAAATGTGCCGCGTTCATTTATTAGCATGGGGACCGATGTGAGAGGTATTGCACACCCGCAAATCCCGCTGCAAGTGGTGTGCACTGGTGCTGTCAGCAATACACGAGGCGGCGGCCCTTTTCAACAGTCGCTAATTCTTAAAGGTTGCTGCTAATTTATCTTCGAGAAATACTGCTTTGAAGCAATTTTATTATTGTTTTCACCTATTTGTCAACCGTGGCTGAACATCTCCAAATAACTCTTTAAGTGCATTTTAAAAGGAATTTGCAGCTTTGGTGGAAAGGGTAAGAATAGGGATGTTTGGCCATAAATCTATATTACTTTCAGTATTGATTTTGGAAAGACTTCTAGTTTCAGAATTAACTAGCTACCTTTCGCATCTGCCAGCAACTTCTCATCACTTTGTAGCAACAGGTAAAACCAAAAAGTGCCTGAATTTCTCCCTTTGTTTAGTCTTGCTGTATCTGAGCGATGAGATCCTATTTTTTTCTGCGAACATCAATTATAGATTATGTACAACAGATTATGTGGTGGTGCAGATGCTTGTAAATGAAGAAACAACTATTCCAGCTGAGGACTCGGTTTTGATTTGAAATCATTATCAAGCACGAATGAGTAAGGGTTCTCATCTTGTCACTGATTTATAAAGGATTACACTATGATAACTATGAGATACCTTTAATTTACTGTTAGGACTTAATGTGAAGCTACCCCCAGAACCAACTGGCAGTTGCGAGTTTCTGAAGCGAGGATGCAGTTTCAGTAGTAGAATAAGAGGACATTATCCTAACTGATGTCAATAATCTACTGACTTCTTTTTCATGATGGCCAGTCCTTAGCAAAGCCTGGTTGGATTTTGAGAAAATTTATTTAAAGTTACCTTTTACAGAAATAAAATATTTTAAAATTTTTAAGAGTTCACCTTCCAGACTGGTACTTGTCTCCCAGTGCAAGAAAGACTTGATAAACGAGTGAGTTCAGCAGCAGCCACCAGGACGGCCGGTGCTGGAGCCCCTTCCCCATGGGGGAGCGGAGGGACCAGGGCTGGCTCAGCCTGCAGAAGCGATGGCTTTGAGAGAACCTAAGACCAGCCACCCAGATTGATGAGGAGGTCATGGAGGAGAAGAAGGAGTCGGTCTCTTCCCAGGGGTGCATGGTGGGTGGATGAGAGGCAACAAGCATAAGTTGAAACAAGAAAGGTTCAGAGTGGTTTAAGGAAAAACATTTTCACCATGAGGATAGTCAGGAACTGGAGCAGGTTGTCTGTGGAGTTGTGCAGTCTCTGTCCTTGGAGAGAGCCTAACCAAGCCTCAGCTGGTTGAAACACTGAGCAACCTGCTCTGGCTTCATGTTTGACCCTGCTTTGCGCAGGAGGTTGGACTAGAGACCTCCTGAGGTCCCTTCCAGCCTGCATGATTCAAAATGATTAATATTTATCTTTTCAAAGTATAACATAAAGCTTAAATACCAAATATCCAAGCCTGGCACCAAGTTAACATCACCAGGTTTCTCCTGTGCTCCACCCATCCCCTTCCTCTTCAGAAGGAGGCTTTGCGCTTCCCCAGGGGAGAACAGCAGAACAACGAATACCTTTCTTCCTGGGTTCATTGCTAATACAGCTTAGCCACAAAGCTGAAAAAAACTTTACAGTGAGATTGTTGTCAACTACACTGTCATAATTCATTAATTAAGAGTTACGTAACACTTTGGTTTAGAAGGAGTTGGTGCAATCCATTTGGGTTGGATTCCATTTGTGGTGTACAGTAACCAACCATGCCCTTTGGAGAAGAGATCCTTGGGGAATTATCATGATACTAAGGTATGTTTGTGGGTCAGCATTTGTTTTCTGCAGGTTTACAGTTACAATGGAGAAAAGTAGAGCTGAATTGCATCAACACATTGTGTGTGGATTATTTAATACGGTAATATCCTGATGGAAAGGACGAGCTGTTTTGGTTACTTTAGAGCTGCTTTGGGGACTGAAAATCACAGGCTGTCGAGCTGTCTGACTTGTCTTTTTCTTCTTTGGCACATTTTTCTTTGATGGGCTGCTTGTGTTCACAGGCTGTTACTTACTTCTGCTCCTTTGAAATTAAGTTTCTTTGCAGACCTCTCTGGAGACTATGGGCCATATTATTAAAAAAAAAAAAAAGGAAAAAGAAAAAAAAAGATAAAAAATAAGTGTTTCCCTGCACTGAAGTTTCATTTCTGTACTCTTCAGAACCCCTGCTGTACAGTGGGTATTATATAGTTTTTACTTTCAAGCCCTGATGAGTAACTGAATCTTTGATTTATTTGATTTATGAAATAATACACTTCCTGTAAATTCCAGGTAGATTCCAGGCTGTCACTTGGTGAGTCTCACGTTGCAAGAGGGGTAGGACAAAGCCTGTCATTTATGGGAGCCAGATCTTCTGTGAAGTCACCAGGAGGAGAATTTGATCCTAATAATACTTTAAATGATTCCACTGCAGATTTATTTTCAGCTGCAGTTTTCTCCACCTTATTTCAGTGCTAATATACTAAACCCTACCTCAGCTCAAGGCACAGCCATCATTACTGCCAGTTAAAATCAGAACTATGTTCTTTGTAGTCATCAAAGTACTTTGTATTGCCTTTGCAATCTCTTGTTGCCCTGTGGCTTCCACCCATCCAAGTAAAATTTGTATGTTTTAAACTGTGAAAGTATTGTTATAGTCTTAGCACCACTTCTGAAAGATTTTACATCTTTGTACACAATAAACAAGATAAAAAGCAGGCCACAGAATTCCCTCAGAACTTTAGCAATGGTAGGTCTCAGTTTCACAACTTATTACATGGGCTTTGGCCATGTGATGTGGACTGAAAGATTTCACCATCTCTTCCCAGTGAGGATCCAATATTCAAAGAAAAGCCAGTATTATTGTAGTTGTTGAGATGGATGATATTTCCTCTAAATCAGTGGCATTTTTAGGAATGGGTTTATGGGTAAGACCTTACTTGCTACAGGCTGGCAGGAGCCAGAGATCTGACATCTTAGGAAATGACTTATACTGCAAATCATTTAAGAGAGGGCCAGATTTGCATAGGTGTGAGTATTAATCCCGTAGGCCACTGATTTCTTCTGAGTGTGCGATCATCACATCTATGGTAATGCCTGTAGAAAAAATGATGGACATATAGGTTTATTTTTCAGCCCTGTCAAGCTGCATCATTGATTTGTGGTGGTCCAGATCAGTCTTTTAAATTAATACACTACATTTGGGAAGATCGCCGTGTATTTTTGCCATTGTATGCTGGTTATTGTCTTACTGATACTGCAGCCAGACTCACAGGAGCCATGCAGGATATCTGACAGGCCTGGTGTGCCTTCAAAACCAGACACGCCATCTCCTCGCTGCCCGCCAGCTACACGGGGCGCAGAAGGAGATCCTGGGTTGGAAGAAAACAGTGCATAACTACATTTGTGTGATTCTTCACTGTTCTGTACGTACGTTGGGCAGTCATGCTTGTAGCAGTCAATATAAAACTATAGCATGGGAACAGAAAAATTGGGTTTGGGAGTGTTCAGCTGTGGCCTGGTGTAAATGACTGGAGGAAACACAAGGCAGGAAAATAACTATGAATGTGCCCTGCTGCTGTTTTAAACAGGCCAGAGAAAGATGGGGGGGATGGATTTCAACCCAGTCTGGATGTGCTGCTGCATGCACGCTCTTGGCTTCCTTCTCTTTCATTCTTAGGGAAACAGCCATGCACTGCTTAATGGCATATATAAGACAGAATTAAGAAAGTGGCAATAACTGCTTACCTTCCTGGAAAAAATGCTACAGGAATTGCACTTGTAATGTGGGCAGAGGCTTTGAGTGTTTTTTTCTTTCCCTGCAAATGTCTCTGGAGCTGTTATCTAAAGTGTGAGATGGTAACTCATCAGGACATTTCAGTTTTCACAGCTCCATTTAATTTCCCTTTTCACCAAGGAGCTGCAGGAGTTATAAGACTGTGTACAGGCACTGCCATGAATTTAAAGGCAGCTTTGTAAATTCTGGCAGCTTGGGTGATAAAGCTGTCAGGTCTCCACCACCAGCTACTCTCGTACTAATGATGGAGAGTGGAAAGGGTGAGGGTAAAAAATGTTGTTCCCCCTTCTGTGACTGCTGCTGTCTAAAACTGTATTGGTATTTCAATGTATGACTGGTTCCATGGAATTGTTAATTACTCCTTAGGATTCCCTAAGGTGAGAAGCATGGCAAGCAGTGTGCGTAAGTTTTTATTTTCTATTTTTTCTTCGCAGAATTTGGGGATGTAGAGTGATTTAAATGTTTTGTCACTTTTGTCAATTTGGATTTACAGGCTAGGATGAGAACATATGGGAAATAAGTACTCAGTATGACAAGTGTGTACTTGATGATCCTCTGCATCTGTGTCTGTGCCGAGCTCACTTGCTCAAATGGGGAAAACACCGCATTATCGTGGCATCAGTCTGAATGCTGCAGTAGTCACGCAAGGGTGAGCAAAAGGCCCTGCTCCTCAGTGGCCCGGTTCCTCCAAGCTTCTCTGTACTCTGCATCCTGTCTTTGTGCAGGTCTGTTTTGAACATGTCTATGTATAGTTCCTCCAAAGGTTGAGGCCACAGACAAAGGTTGTAGAGTGAGGTTTTAAATAACTCAGTTTTTTCTAATTCCAGTTACAGAATCAGAAAATATGAATTAAAATATGTATAAAAAGCATCATATAGAAATATGGAATTTATTAATTGACAGTGTGTACAGTACACACATCTCATTTATAGAACTGTCTAATAACTAGAACAGTTGTATAATTAATTCCGTTACCAGTCTATATACTTTATTACATCCTAGAATGAACCTTTTCACCCTTCCATTAATTTTATCACTATCAACAGCTGTAGCAAGTTTTTTAAGTGTCATTTTACCCTGATTCATTTTTTCCAAGAGGTACATATATTTCAATAAACATTATTTTTAATCCCATTAATCCAGAAACCAGTCATCAGAATAATTGGTAGCAATTGAGACAGTATAGAGGAAGAGCTTTTCTGGATGGATGCAGCTGCTGAAGGTGTGAATGGCTATTAGTGAAAAATCATTTTTTTACATATTGCTGACCCCTGGGGAAGCTCCTGACCCTGTCCTTTGCACCAGGAATGGTCCTTGCCACTGGGTTCACATCATTAAGCCAGTAGAAATCTAAGCAGAAAAGAGCCAATAATTTTTGCTAGCAATTAGCTGTTTGGTAAATTTAGACATCTGGTTGAATCTTACTCCAAGTGAAAAGCATATCAGTTTACACTGATTTGTTTCCCTCTGCTGTTTTTCAATAAGTATTAAAGTATTAATACTTTATATAATATTTATATATTTATATAAAATATAAGTTTTAAGCAATATACTAGTTTTCTGCTCTTACTGTTACATTCTTTAGGGTCTATATAATCCATTACCATAAGCACACTACTTCATCTTATGCTGTATTAAGTTTCATTTCTATTCATTAGGCTATCCAAATATTTAACGATGTGCACCCTGACATTTGAATTATATGAATGACAGTGAACTCATATGCAAGTCAAGATCAGTTTATCCTAAGATTTGCGATAGATTTTGTATCCAATCTTTAGAAGTACTGCTTAGTCTCCAAGCTACCAAACAATACCGAAGTCACAGCATTAAAAGGATCTGCGTGATATGTAATGAATGCAAGCACACCATTTAAAAACTGTTTTAACACAGGTTTGCTCTCGTTCTTATATGTGGATGACTGGGCCCTTGAGTTAATAGCTGTACATAGTTTGCACGAAAGCTCAAGCGCCAAGGCAAGAAAAGCCAGGACAGCGTGTGTGGAGGTGTGCCAGCCAGAACAGCTGCCTCACAGCAGCTTAATTTTCAGTAGAAACTTCAATAAATAGAAGCAGCATAGAATGATAAATTTGTGGGGAAGATATTCCTGTGATTAATTTAACAGACACCTGAGGTCACTATTCCCTCACTAAACTGCATCCAGGAAAGGAGGCAGTGAAGTTACCA